AACTAGACCAAAATACTTGGGTCAGATTTTGTTTTTCTGCAGCGTGTGCATCACTTTGTGGCCACCTCTCTAAAAACGAATCCTCCCTCCCCCTCTCTCTCTCTCTCTCTTTTTTTTCTCTCTCTCTCTCTCTCTCTCTCTCTTAACAGATGGGTTTCTTCCGTCGACACTACAGAGAGATCATTGAAGCTGAAAAGAACCGGAAGGACAGTGATGAAAGCTGGGACTGGATGGACAAGGACCACTGAGACATTCGACTGGGGCCCAAGCGGAGCCAGTGAGATTAGGCTTAAGATGGATCCAATAGCACTGGGAGCGCAGCCGCCCCGGTGGCACCAGATTCTTCAAAGTCTTTCATATGTGGAAGAGAAGATTATTCTCCATATTTTCTGGAGACTCTCTATTATTTGGGGTGTCGGTGGTGGGGTCCAGGGAAGGGGCTTCTGAGGTGAATATGGGGCTCAGAGGAGGATACTTGCTGTGGAAATCGGCTGTTCTGTGATGAGGGAACTCCACGCCGGTGGAGCCGAGCTGTGGATCTAGAGAGCATGAATACTGGTGGACAACAAAACCCTCAGGGCTGTGATACATAGCAAATTTATTTTTATACATACACTTTCAAGCCATATAAAAAAAGGAAGGTTATTAATGCCATTAGAAACTTTCTTTATCTGCAGTTTTTTTTTGCAGTTTTTTTTTTTTTTTTTCCTAAAAGCACTGATGTTTGAAGAGAATGAATGCATTTTGCTCCAAAGCTTTTAATCTGTAACATATGAGTGGAGTCGTCTGTATTTTCAACTCATTCCTAAAAGTTTGATCAAAAAGTTTAATTTATTTCAATATTTAAGTTAAACTGAAACTCCTTTTAATTATTTAGACACAGAGTGACATATCTGAAGCATTATTGCCTATTTGTTTTCATGATTTGATGTTCAAATTTAATAAATTTTAAGCGTGGTGTATCAGAATTGCAGGAGAACAACAAAAATAGGGATTTTTGATCAAGAAATTATACAAAATTGTTAAATTGTCTTCTAGACTGGACAGCTTCTGACAACCTCCAGAAAGAGACTAAGCCACAAAGCTGTGAAAGAAAGTTTAATGGAAGAAAAACATGTGGCAAAGAATCATGGAAAAATAACAGGAATAATCACAGACTTAAGGGATATTCCAATCAGTGTTACACGATCCCTTATATGACTTCCACTTTTTAATTTAAATTACTGAATTAAATAAACTTCTTCCTGATATTCTAATTAATTGAGATGTGCCTGTATCTCTTTTTTACCTTTCTCTGTGTAATTTTATTTCCACACAAATGACTGCATCCCTTTTAGAATTTTTTTTTTAATGCCCTTTAAAGACTATGGGAGCATTGTTCAATCTTATGTCATCAAGCACTGAAGAGATATCAGTTATAACTTTACTTCTTTAGTCTATTTTCTTTTATGTGTAAAATACAAAATATTGTTCAATCTTAGCATTCAAATTTCAAGCTTTTTCAGTGTGATCAGCTCTTTGCTCTTATCGGACGTTTTGAATTTTGACATATGTAAAATCGAACCGAGCTGTTTCAAAAGTATGCATCAGATTTTTCAAGTTCATCCCCTTGAAAATTAATTATGTCATGAAAGACTGTTCGTATAAAACCTCTATTTTTGCTTTCTTAAAACCTACTCTAGACTCTTGTTTTTTTTTTTTTTTTTTTTTTATTTTTGGGTTTTAGAGTCAAATAGGAAATCTTAGAGTTGTTTACAGGGCTCGACGGCATGAGTAATCTCCTAAAAATAAATGGAACTTGGCTGCACTCAGCCGCTACACAAAAAACAAGCTCTTTGGGGATCATGGGAATAACTCAGTTTAAGATAAAGGGATCAAAAGGATAAATTATCCCACAGGTTGAGAATAAAAACTTTAAATCAAGCTTTAAAATCAGGACGCTTAATGAACCTGTTGCAACTGGCCCCACATTCCCACTTTTAAATGATGAAAAATTAAAAGAAAAATTACTGTACGCTATGTATCAGATTCACAGTAAAAGTGCAATTCTTAAGAGCTCAAATATTTCCTAACCTGCTTAGACTTAAACTTTAAGCCACTTTATACCTACTAATGGCTGCTTCAGTCTTTTATTGTGCAGAATATTTTGTCACTATTGAATTTCACTGGCATCACAGCAGCGTATACTGTACACTTTCACGTCCTTCCTCTGCACCAAAGTCAAAGATGCTAAACTTCATTTATGAATTCATTTAGGAAACCAACACTTGACTTTTGTTTTGTTCTGTTTGTTTTTGTAAAAGTCTAACTGTGATGATTCAGTGTTGGATGCCTTCGTTAATCACACCAATGTTTGGACTTTTGTTCTGAGTGTACTACTGTCAGTGAGTATCATTTCCATTATAGTGTGCTGTACCTTTGATGTTTAAAGTCATGACTGAGCTGTATATTTATCTGTCGATAAATTTCAGAGTGAAATATCCAAACTCTGTGCTTGTTTACTTTTTTCGGTTGAGTGCTTTGTTTTTGATGGAATTTTGCGCCACCTGCTGGGAGCATCACTGCTTTTAAATTGACAAAACGTTGATGAATGAAATCGGCATTTCAGAATATGAAGGGATTTTGTTATAAGTGTCTTCTAGTTCCAGATACAATTGATGTCCAGTCATTATTTTTGGTGTGGTATGTTACAATGTTTTCTTGTTTTATTTTACTTTCTTACAGTTTCTTTTTATGGATCACAATATTTAACCACTCAAAACATTAAAATATATACATTTAAAATTGTGAAATTTAAGTACTTACAAAAATTGAACTTCTTGTTTGCTGAATTCGCCACTGTTTTCCCCCCCCAACATGAAATGTGCAGTGGGCAAAAACATATTTTTCATACTTATCTTTATGTAAATTATCATTTCTATTTTTCTAACCTGACTAAATAGTCAATATAAAAGCAATACTGCAGTAAATTCATATAAAATGCCATTATTTTATAAAATATTTATGTCCAATTTAAATCTTGTCGGATGGGTTTTTATTTTTTTTAAATCTATGAATTTATCTTCATAGATTGATATATAAGCTACATTAAATTATCCCACTTCCTGTTACTGCTAACATCTCAAGTAGACAGTGGTTTTTGTGCCATTCAAAATATTTGAACCTAAAAATCACTATCACCAAAAATATTTTTAACATCAGTCTTGTTACGCTAGTATCGTATGAAAAACACTGATTTTTAATCAGACATGTTTATTTAAAGGTTTTTAAACCATAACTTCATTGGTGACATATACAGTATTTTCTAAATGTATACTAGTAAGTTGAGTTTTTCACAGAAATCTTTGAAATAATCGATTATTCAAGAACACCTGTGGAGTTTCTTAAATGCATACAAAATTTATCTTCCATACTTTATCACTTGCTAATGTGTAAAGTTGATAAGGTGACAACAGTTGCTATGAAACACTGAAATCTATCACCTGCTGAATTATTAAAACGGCTCCAGCATTGACCGGAGCTGAAGCACCACAGGCTCATTTTCACCAGTAAGAGCTACTATCAGAGCTATGTCCTCGTTACTGGAGCACAGCTTTGTCAGGACCTTAGCTTTGGAGAGGGTGGTGGCCCCCATTGCAACTCATTTATGTTACCTGGTGCTGCTGTGTGACATTATGGATGATGAGTCCGAGCTGTTCAGCCGGCTGGAGGCAGCGGCTCTGGAGGTAGTTAAAGCCACTGACAACATGGCGGCAGTGGTCTCCAGGTATGTACTGTTTAGTCAGCTGGTTTCTGCAGCTGTGTGATCGGATTAATGCTGACCCTTCAACTTTCAGGCTAATTAGTAATACAGAAGATGAAGTTCTGCACATGGAGATGTCGTCGCTGCTGGAGCCGCTCAGTGTGTCCGGGCGCCACGTCCTGCTGGCGGCGCAGAAACTCAGCATCCAGCCTAATCTGCCTGAGCACAGAGAGGAACTCATCACCGCAACTCAGAATGTTTTCCTAGGAGTTCTCAAAGTAAAGCGTTTCATTATGTATTATTAATTATATTTATTATTATTTATTATTCCTTATTTTATTTTTATTTTTTTTACATTTTCTATCTGGGCTTTGTTGGAGAGAGACAAGAAAAGAAAGTTGTTGACAGGCATGAAATTACCTTATAGCACATGTGTCAAACTCAAGGCCCGCGGGCCACATGTGGCCCGCCATGTCATTTTATGTGGCCCGCCATGTCATTTTATGTGGCCCGCCATGTCATTTTATGTGGCCCGCCCAGCATTTTATAGGCTGATGATTG